TAACGTACTTCATGGGCGAGTTGCTCACACACCTGAGTTGCTTACTTTTGCCAAGACCCCACTAAACTACCCTTCCTACACTAATGCATTCCCCACAACACTACTTAGACGCGCTAAAAGAACGTTAGATACAGCTTACGCTCTAAGCTTTTAAATAAGACATAAAACTTTTAAAGAAATGTGCTATAGCTATGTGTAGAGTTTTATAAAAGATAATAAATAACTACAGCGCTAGACAACCTTTACAAGCTAATTCTACAGCTAAATTATAGAAGCTAGGTAATAAAAAGGAGCAGGTGATTGTTAAGACTATACTTAAGCTATATGCGCAAGGAATTTCCCCTTAGATAGCATTTATAGCTAATATAGCTAATTCTTTGCGCACTAAGCGTAATCTAGGCTATGTTTGCATAAACTAGCCTAGTACATTTATAAAGCGTTATTTAGAGCTTAAAGTAACGTTTAAGTGTAAGTACAACTATAAAAGAGCTCTCTATAAGAGTCCTAGGGTAATTTAGAGCAGGTTTAGCCTTATAGAGAATATTAAAGCTAAGTATAGCATCTAGGATAATAACACATATAACTTTAGTAAGACAGGGTTTATAATTAGCTAGATATCTCTTAACTATACTTGCGCTTAAAACTTTACTTTAAGCTCTAAATAACACTTTATAAACATACTAGGCTAGTTTATGTAAACATAGCCTAGATTACGCTTAGCGCACAAAGAATTAGCTATATTAGCTATAAATGCTATTTAAGAGGAAATTCCTTACGCATATAGCTTAAGTATAGTCTTAACAATCACCTGCTTCTTTTTATTACCTAGCCTCTATAATTTAGCTGTAGAATTAGCTTGTAAAAGTTGTCTAGCGCTATAGTTATTTATTATCTTTTATAAAACCCTACACATAGCTATAGCACATTTCTTTAAAAGTTTTATGTCTTATTTAAAAGCTTAGAGCGTAAGCTGTATCTAACATTCTTTTAGCGCGTCTAAGTAGTGTTGTGGGGAATGTATTAGTGTAGGAAGGGTAGTTTAGTAGGGTCTTAGCAAAAGTGAGCGACTTAGGTGTGTGAGCAACTCGCCTATAAAGTACATTAGTATTAAACACTATCTAAAAAAAATTAAATGTAGATACTTATGCTTTTAAGGCTTAATTTTCTTACTATTTTTATTAACACTGTTACTGCTAATTAGCTATTTACTATAGTGCTTACATAAAGTATTTTTAACTGCATTAAATTTTTAGAATTAAGTAATACAGAGGACAGCAGTAAAGTTAATTACTTATAAAATGCCTTTTAAACACTATTAAAAGGCTATTTAAATATAATAAAATATAAAATACTTACAGCTGTAATGCTATCTAGCTTTTTACCCTTTTTAATAGTGTAGATAGGCAGCCTTAGTGTACTACTATTATAGTTAGAAGTTATAAGGCAGTTAGTGTGTAACTGCATTAGGTTAAAGACAACTTATAAATATAATTAAAATAAGTATTAAACTTTAAGAAATATATAAATGCGCTACTTTACTATCTTATAGTTATAAGTAATATAAGAATTATCTTTATTAGCTTACTTTTAGGCAGCTTTACTACTTTTTAATTTATGCTAAAGTATTAGCTAATAAGATTAAATCTTTTTATAATAAAAATAATATATATTATATACTTTAGCACTTTTAATAAGGTTTTAAGAGTTTATTTTATTCTTTTTTAAAAAGTTGCTAGAGCTAGGGAGCTGTATAAAGTTAAAGACTATTACTAAAATATAATTAAATAGTGTTACATACACTATAAAAAGTTATATTTAAAGTAAAAAAAAAGTATGTTATAGAAGCGCTAAAATAGTTTCTATGCATAGTGTTATAATACTTTTTAAGTTTATTATCTAGACTAGGCATAGCAGTGTAGAGCTTTTTTATTAGACTCTTATAGTATTCTAATATATATTAGGACGCAATCTAAACGTAATCTAAATAAAATCTAGGCTATATGCAATACTAACCTTAGATAGATAGTTAATCTTCTTTAGCTATCTTTCTACCTTTGCTATTCTTATGCTAGTAGGAGACATATTAGTAATTAAGGTAAGCTATTTTAATGTAATTAATAAGCTAATTATAGTTAAAATACACTTACTATAGCTTATAAAAATATAATCTAGACACATTTAGATTTTAATTAATACTTACCTTATAAATTTATTTTAAGGTGTTATAAGAAGTGTATTTAATGTAACACACTTTTTTATAAACTTTAATATAAATAAACTTTATAGTATAGCTATTTACTTTATAAACTTATTAAAAACATAATTAGAACTTTTATAAAATAAGTAATATTTAGCTTACTTTTTCTGTCTACTTAATCTTAAATTTAAAGTTAAATTTATTATAAGGAATTTAAATTTATTAGCAGCATATTAGCATGTAGCGCTTTATTTTAATCTACTAAACATATTAGAAACACTATGTAATTAGAATTAAAATATAATTTTTATACATCTAATTGCTTAATTTAGAAATGTTAGTTTTTATTGCTGCCTTAATAACATAGTAGTTACTGCAAGTAAGAATAATTTAGCAGTAAGTTAAAAGAAAGGCTTAGAAGTAGTTAGTAAGTGCCTTAAGCTAAAAAAGTGTTAACCCTGCTAAAACAGGTTTAGTATATAGAGAGGGTTAGAGTAAAAGTGAGAGAGGTTTAGTACAAGAAATTTTAATTAGGCCCGTGCGCAGCTAAGCGAGGCCGAGGAGCAGCCGATTTAACTTATTGGTGCATGAACTCTATAGTCTCCTGTTCCTCACACAACGTCTTGTACCTACCATGATACCTCACGTAGTAATTGAACTAGACCTCCGTGAAGCTCTATAACCTTACTCGTGCACAATCGTGACAAACATAGTAAATGCCTTATAAGTAAGAAGAATTACACATAGAAAAAGAAGCTTATAGACTTTACGTAAGGTCTATTTATTAAAGGTCTGATATGCTTAAAAGAAAAAAGAAAAGTTGCTAAAGTCTATCTAGGTTTATTTATATAGTAAAAAAGACAAAAGAAAAGAGATGAAAGAAAAGAGATAAAAGAAAAGAGGAGAATTATATAAACAGCAGAATGTTCTAAGCAACTTTATAAAAGAAAAAGTTGCTAGTGTTTATATGTCTATACAGCAACATTTTAACAACGTTTTAGCAACACTAATAACGCGTAGAGTTGCTTTAGCCCCTATCACGTGGCGTGTGCGTAAGCCACCTATATAGCAACTATCTCTCTGCGTACGCAGAGAGATAGCAGTAGTCAATTCAAAGAAGATCTTTTGCCTGCTCACCCTGTCGCTAGCTGTACGCTTAGCTGTACAGCTACCCACCTACCCACCGCGTGCGTAGCCACGCAGAAAAGGGACCCACTACCGGATACGTAGCCATCTAGAGGAGTGAGCCAACTGACAGACTTTAACTTTTCTAAGCAACATAAAGTAGTGTAATAGAATGTAGAAGACAAACTTAAAGAAAGTTTAACATGCTTATATTAATAAAAATTAAAAGAATTAGAATTAAGATAAGAATTTAAGTAAAGCTACACATGTTTTTTATGCTACTATTATGGAAGGTAATGCAGAAGGCTTTTCTTATTATAGTACAAAAACACGTTTAACAGTTCTATAGATCCTTACCTATATAATGATAGAGCTCTGTATTACTCTGCTAATACAACTAAAAGGTGCGAATAATCAACTAACAGTTGATTTTCGTATAGAACAGTATATATGTCTTACAACCTAAACGTATACTAACCTAGCCCTAGCTGATAGGCATCTATTACTATGAGAAAGCCTATTTCAAACAGACTACCGTTAAAATCGATAGCCTTATTAACAGTAAGCACTGGCTTATAAGGTCCGGATAATTATACAGCTCACGTGACTGTACCATTGTGAAACATATCAAACGCACTACGCCCTGTTAAGCACCCTGTTCCTCCTGCCGTACTATAAATACTAGGGATGTCTTATATCTTCTATTCTCTGTTTAGATTTAGCCTCACCGAATCTTTCCGCATCCAGCTAGAACTGAGGATTTAGTATAGAGTATTTATTAGCGGTTCTGCCGTTACAGTACACTGCCGCCTGGTCCAAATCCTCCTTAACTAAAGATACTGGGAAGTACCTGGAAGTTCGATAAAGTGATTGAAGTTACCGACTACAAATAGCTGTGTGAATATGAAACCCTCTTTGGATGCAAAAACTGGCCTGATTACTCTCTTTGAAGTAGTAGACCTAGTACTTGAATGTAGGGAATATGTGCTTGATAGTGATTTGCGGATGTGTTCTAAGGAACACCACTTCCAAGAGGAGGCCTTTCGCTGCTATGTGGACAGCACCAAGGTTTGATCCACTTTCTGGTTGTGAGAACCAAAGTCTTGATCCACGATTCCTTAGGCTTGGCAATCGGCTTAAGAAACGCATGAGCCGCGCAGCTCAGTAGTCCTTTTCCCCCTTCTCACGGCACTCGAACACCATGGTGTTGGAATTTAGTTCGAGATTCGCAGTCTCCGCCTACAGCTGTCGACACGCATCTTTCAGTGGATTAAACTCGATCTCGGCGGATGCTAGAGCTGAGGTTAGAGGACGAGTAATCGCTAAAAGCAGACCTGCTGAATTAAGCTCTAATGTCTAGGTTTCTATAGCTTAAGCTAGAAGGTGCAGTAAGCGTAAACTCGTAGATTCGATTACGAAACTCACCAGGTAATTGCAATAAGTGAGAGGCCCCTTGTCCGGGTTGCTCGGCACTGCTACGAGTGAGATGTCCAAGGGTGCCACTGTTGGAGTTGGACAACGCTGCTGGGACTCTTGCTGAATGCTTCGGTGAGGACGTCTTGAGGTAGAGTAGTTTGGCGGAAGGTGGCCAATGAATAGGGCCGCGCAAGATTTACATAACATAAAAGACCATTGTGAAGGCCATTGTAAAGGACGGTTATGAAAGACTCTCTAGTGTGAGACGGATTAGTTAGACAACGCAGGGAAATAAAGAACATCATAGAAATCTGTCTTGTCAGCCTGCGTCTCAAATCAAAATTTAGTTCAGACTGCACCTGCACTTCTTAATCCTGCCACGCCAGAACATATTAATCACTATTTACTGCATAGATCAGCCCTATACCAATACTTACCTATAATAAAATTAATACACAACGGGGCGTTACTTTTGCTGCTTCCCCTGCCTAGCTCTCTCCATAACCTCTAACTAATCGGTCTAGACTTAGGATCCCCCAATGCCCCCATTAGTGAATAAGGTTAGAGTAGCATGATTCCCAATGCCCAACGCCTTAACAAGTTCGGAATTACAGCAGCCTCGTCGCGGGAATCACAACAAAAGGTGTTTGCAGTAGTCATGCATGGCTCTCACGTCTGGCTCTCACGCATGGCTCACACGATAGTCGCACATTGCCAAGATTTACCCCTTTTTCTCGTATATATAGACCCTTAGGTACACTCTTTTAGCAATCAATCCAGTTCCTCATGCCTCTGGTGCTCCTCCTAGCTTCACAAAAGGTCTTAATTAAACGAAGAGAGCAATACGATGAAACCTCGTTAGGGGAAATGAATTGTAATAATCAAAGCCCACCGGCTACCACCGTGACACGCGCGAAATCACGCTTACTACGTTACTGGGTTCCAAGGTTCCTCTTGGGGGGAATTTCCACTAAGCCCCTCGCTTCCTTAGTCCGCCACTGAATCGTCTTGCAAATGTTATACAAGACCTCAAGCGTGGGCATCGGAACGCCGGCCGCCTTCCCCTCCCTCAACGGCTCCCCAAGAAGATTCTCGAACTCAATGAAGTTGCCCTGTAACCGTCAGCATCATGACCCTTCCACACCTCTACCGTCTTAGATGACCCGCACTGGGATAATGAGAAGGCCCCAAGCTCACCTTTCGCACATCCGCCAGCATACTCGGCGCCAAATAAATCTCCAACGGATCCACCTCAATCATGAACCCCACAACCTCCTCTCCCAACAACACTCCCTTTTTCGCTGCAGCTTCTACAATCTCCTTCATAGCCGGCCTAACCAACCCCTCGATCCCTCCACCCGCAAGGCGAATCCTACCGGTATCCAGTCCCGTAATCGCACAAATCGGATTCAAGCAGGCATTATACACAAGTTTCCGCCACCGATCGTACAACACATTCTCCGAGTACGCGCAGTCCGTTTTCCCACCCGCTGAGTATATTTTGACGAACTCTCTCGCTTTGCTACTTTCCAAATCGAAGGGGATGTGAGGGTTTCTGAACGCCCCAATGAACAACCTGTCTTTATCATCCTGAATGATTGTGCCCGGGTCTGTTTCAGCGCTACCGATGAGTGAAACACCTGAGATGACCGGGGTATGAGGGTGTGATTGGAGGATCGGTTTTTCGATATTAAGACCGTTTTGAATTAGGACGAGAGTGGTGTGTGTGTTTTCAGTAGGGAGGGCGGGGCTGATGAGCGAGGATATTGTAGGGGGAATATCGGGGATGTTCTTAGTGGTGAGAACGACGTAGTCGTAGGGAGGGAGAGTTTCCCTGGTGATGTCTGGGACTTTATTTCGGACTGGGGATGGGAACACCAGAGAGTTAGCGGGGGAGGTTGGCGCGGAGAGATCAGGTGTGGGGGAAGAGATAATGGCGGACCATGACTTGGCTTCCATCCTTGGAATGTTCCATGGTCGCACGATTCGATCGAGTATCCGGCTTCACTGACTGCTTTGAAGTTTGAGCGGAGGACTACGGTGACGGTTGCGAGGCCACCGATTTCAAGGTTCAGTGCCGCAATGGCGCCGACGGCACCACCTCCAATGACGAGAACATTTTTCTTCCCCGTGTCAGCCATCGCGGAATGAATGAGAAGGAAAGACAAGGTGACTCACCGGAGCAGAGTTGATTTGAATTGTTGATGCCTAAGGTTGACAAGGTACAGAAAGGCGTAGTGGCGGGGTTGAAAGTGGGATGCGACTTCGGAACCAGCCTTGCTCGCCTCGGTACATTTTGCCTAGGTTGGTCTAGCCCCTTGGTGGTGTGTGAAGCCTGCTACGTTTATATGGTACGCTTTGGGTCAAATAAGGGTATTCATCTTCGTGGGATAAGATGCGGTGTCTACGATTGTTTGCTACTCTTGGCTAATGCTGTCTTGTAACCCCCAAAGTTATGTAGAAGCTTCGTAAAAAGCGTGATACAATATTGGACAAGCACAGAACAAGGGCTACCTCATTTCTCGTTCAGACACTAGCGCTTCTGAGCCAACTACCTTAGATGTTTAGAAATTACAGGCTCCAGGCCCCAGCACTATGTCTGTGGGATTTAATCGAAAAGCCGAGCAGCGGGGCTAGGGACTGCGCTGTTAACTGACTTGCTGAAGCATGTTGGCGTGGAGAGAGAACGCACACGAACAAGAAAGTGTCAACAAGCAAGTTTGTGGGGATTTCAAGGTCCAACTTCACTTTATTAACTACCTACTTGGGTTGGTGATCTTCCTGTATAGATTTAACGCGTCCTAAGCAGGAATAGCGCTTCTATCTGGTAGTAATCTCTGCCTGAGATTCCCCTTTCTGGTTTAGTGAAGTCCCTCACTTATCTATATCAGGTATCGTTTCTCGTCCTATTAACCCGCCACTTCTAACGTCTATAAAATGCTCTCCTTGCTGTCTTTACGCCTCCTCCTTATCTCTTCCTTTAATTCTCCGACCTAACCCTGGCGACTCCGCCACCAAACGGTTGACGCTTTTCCACACCTTGCCTACCTACTCTCGCGTCTCATCTCCAGCTGCCAATTCAAAAGAGCTTGCTCTCGAATCTGCCAGTATGCGGGGTAGTTTCTCTAGTTCCGTCTTACCGATCTTTTATACTAACAGCCTGTTTGTGCTGTTAATACGACTGCTAAGGAGACTCGACAATCCGAAAGCTTTAGTTAGGTTGAATTTAGATAGCACTTAACTGTTATTTTTTAGAATATCCTCCCTCATTCACCCCTCCAGGGCCTCAGACACGTGGCTACGTCACGTGTCCTCGTAGATGTATAGTCCTCTGTAGTCCTTTGAGTCTCTCCGCAGGGATTCGTCTCTACTATCTCCTCAAACAGACCCTGTAGCACCCTTTCTGGTGTCTTCGCTCCCTGCGCTAAAAGCCCCTCATATTTATGTTCTTTTCTGGTCCAACTTTTTGAGGCCTTTCGCATTTGCTTCGCCCCATACATCCTATCCTTATATCTCTTTCATTTTCTTATTACGGTCGTCTGGAAAGGGTAACTTAATCTAGCTGGAATACCAATTCCCTATCGCTCTTCCCGCTCCGACAGCCATCGCCGCAACCGGACTAGAGTTGTGCCAGCCCTGCTTTTGGACCTGTACGTTAGTGCTAATGCCGAATATACCTTATTTCCTAATTATGACGCTACGAGGAGCAGTGACTAGACAGTAAAGCTGAAATTAAATAATATAGATTTATTTCTTGCCGCTGTGGTTAGGATACCACTACAGCCTGGAGTCTTCTGTGGCGCGCAAATTAATACAGGGTGCTCAATTTTACGGAACTAGAGAGTGATGAGAAGAATAGGGTAGATGAGTCCGATGACTGGTATGGCCAGACTACTCTCAAACTAATTCGACAATCTTCACCTCCAGCTTCGCAAGAAAACTATTTAACAAGCCTTCCTTATTGGTAACTATAGTGCCTAGCCCAATCCTCTTATAGGCCCCATGCTTACTCGTTGGCTTGAGCATAAGATAAGTGATCGTATCGGAAAGATGAAACAGGACTAGACATGTGATTTCTATCTCATGGCTACAATTTTGGACCGCATCGAAGGCGCTGAATAGGTCCTCCGTTGGGATATCATTATGGTCCACAAATGTGAAACTATCTTCGCCTCGTCTTTCATCGGGAGTAAGTTGGAAAGATTTAGATGATAGAACCAGTCTTGACCAGGTTAGACGAGAGACATACGGTTCTCCGGACCATTCAATGCGGTGAACCATTACTCGAAGCGGGGTTCTTATTTCAGAAGGATCGTCAATGTCGTCGGCAGAAGAATAGTCGATCCCTCCGCGTACAGAGATCCAAGTCCACGAGGGCAATTCGACTAGTTTACCGGCCTGCTCTGGATCGCCTACCGACCAAGCCAGGTCGAGATGAAGTGTTGAAATCCAGAGTCCAATCAGAGGTGTGTCTTTGGTGTTCACTTGGTAATACTGGATCAAACCAGCTAGAGCAGGGAGTCTATCCTTTTCGTAGGTAAAAGTTCGATTGCTATAGTCTTCAATCCAGGTGTGCCACATCGACATCCGGGTGCGAGAGGTTTTATCGCTTACATCTATCTCAGAGATGAATCCCAATCCTTGGGTGGAGAGTCCTATCCTACTCCCAGTATCATCTTGTGCAACGGAGCCATCTTCCGAGAGGAAGCATTCTTTGCACTGCCAGAAAATTTGATTCGATGTCAAATGTAAGATGCGTCGAGAGAGTACGGTTTCTTGAAGAACCCAGCCCCTTTTAAGTAAAGGCTTCGCGATGTTCTTCCCCACTATTCGATCTCGGAGCTTAACGGAATAACGATACCCGTTCTGAGTCGTTTTAGAAATAGCCTCGATAGTTCCAGTATGTCTTTCGAGATAACATCCGCCCTGACCGTCGGAAGATGAAGTCGCCGAGATTGTTAAGGCTGAATTCTGATAGATAGAGGCCATGGCCTGAGCTTCTCGCTCCCAATCTTCATTTGAGTCCTGAACAATGCACAGTGAATCGATCCATAGATATTGCGCTCCTAGGCGTCGGGCAGCCTTGTTGGCATCTGAATAAGTTCTCGGTAAATCAGAAACCGACAGCCCTTCTTGGTGCTTCACGAGAGTGAGTTGAGTCGTCTTGAGTGATTGATGCTTTCCCCAGCAATGACTGAGGGTAAAATATTCCGGCAGTGGGGTTTGCAAAGAAGTGGTGTTAACAAGACAAATGCGGCCGTTCTCAAACTCCTGAAGATCTAGGAGTCGGGATGGACCCCCAGTCAACCTTTTTCGACAGGCTACATGATGCTTCATGCAATTTGAATAACATCTGTCCACAAATTTGAATCTGGTATCCATGTTGAGTAGCCCGGGTTGCCATATAGGATGGTGATGTTTTATATCCGTATCCGGACCACCATCGTCCCCATTTTCGAAGACTGGTCATGGTTATCGAGGATTATGCATAAGCAGTGATGAGGAAAAAACAATGGTAAGAGAACCTAGCGGAAGGCAGTAGACAACATAGAATCAATCTAATTGTAGACTTTTTGCTTAGGTAAATTCCTCGTTGGCAAAGCCTGGGGATATTGCAAAGATGGCGGTAAATATTTTCGAAATATCATTACAACCAATCACAGATAACAAGTATATTCTCGAATAGTAGGAGGTTGTGGGGAGTCTTACATTTATGATATGATATGACATATCTTTGTCGTAAAGGCATATCGGAGGGCGTAGAGTCGGCGCTTAACAACTGTGTTGGGTGGAATTTTTCCGATATGTCTTCCGAAGTAGGAATATCCAGCATCATAAAAGTAGGGCCAGGCTTAGAAACGAACCAGTGAATTTGGAGAGTGACATTGAAGTCGATATTTGTTACCATGCGTTGCAAGGAACCCAAGAACACTTTGCATAATGTGCAAGTAAACGCGGCGGCTTCAATCTGGGCACAAGTGGCAAAGTTTTCTAATCCATAATGCAAGGCATTCGGAATATGAGAGATCTTGTCGATAAACTGCGTGCAAACAGTGCAAAGTTCCCCCATGACTGGGGAGTGCGTTTTAATAGAGCGCAAATTAATGTGGAGTATATTTGCTTTAGTAGTGGCCTGGTTCTTGAAGAATTTCGTTTTTATCACTTCTCGTGAACCGGGGAAAACCTTTCGTTATGCAAAAGGACCCTAGTCTTAAAGGAGATTAGCGTGGCCTCGTGTTGGCGGACAAAAGATCTCCCGTGCTTCGAAGCTGACCCCCATTTGTCTCTTCAACGTGGAAGCCAACACCTCAAGTTTCTGCGGTATCTGGTTAAGGATTGGTTTAGATAGGTGCGGAGACGTCCACCCAGAGCAATAGGTCCTCGTCTTCTCGCTGGGTGTGCCGCAGCGCCCAGCCCAGGTTTCTTGGTCGCCGACGTGGTCGTGGTGTCAGCGGCCCCTGCCCGTGTACGACAGCACCTTGAAGGTGGGAGGGGGCTTTTTGTCTATGGATGACACGAAGAGCTTGGCCTTTATTTCCACGTCGAACTGCTTAGACGCGAAGAGGCTGATCGTGAGCCAGGCCTAAAACCACATGATTAGGCCAGGGGCCTAGCCACTCCTGTGATAGTATGTAGACCGTGCGCCATCTTAGACAACGAGAAACGCGAAATGGCTGCTTAGTTTTCTTCTCTTTTCCTCATCTTGGTTGTAAATAACATCTGGACTAGGTAGCTGGAATCCAGTTCCTAGAGACCACTCACACAGAGCACCCATTGCTTCCATTCCGATTAGTTATCGAGACGTCCGATAGATAAACCTTTGCGCACGTGTCAAGCATCGTAATGAATTTGTCGAATGGCTAACGGCCTTGCGAGACTTCCCACCCACTCAATTAGCATGACGCTAAGAGCCCACCAGTTCGTGTACCTATAGTAATTTGTATCAAATACCTGCTCAAAATAGTCTCTACTCTAGGGATGCTCAAGTGGCAAAGCGTCTTGATACATATCGATATCTGTAGGACTGAATTCGTCCTAGGCACAACGAGAGAGCAAGATAAATTCGCAAAGCGATGGATTATATGAACGTACTCAGGTAGGGTCAAGTTCATGTAGAGTCCCGCAGTGTTGACTCTCAACGTCGTAGATCCATGTATCAGTTGCACAATGCCACTGCAACCATCCAGAGATACTATGGTTGTTCCCGTTGGTGTGCTCGCTCCCTGCTGGACGAAATTGAAAAATAGGAAAGTTTAGCTGCCGACGGTTTGAAGAATAGCGCAATATCCGAAATGATCTCTGTTTCTCTGGGGGAATCACTACGACTGCTATCTTTTTTGACAAGATCTTCCCGTGCTTCAAATATCAAATGGATTTGAATACCCAGGCTCAGGATCACGTCTAGTTTGTTCGCTAATAGGATCTTCTGTATAGTAGCCGGACCGACAATGGAAATATATTTGAGCGTCTGAATAGAATAGGCACTGCTTGAAAGAACTTTCTATTGGAAAGTCCAAACGCGATTATCCCACAGTGAATAGTTCAAGGCAGATGAAAGTTCCGGTAGCTTTGCAACGAGGCGTAGCCCGTGGACGATTTCTGAGATCTGTTGGACCCGCTGAGATCCCTTGACTACACCTGGCAATCCAGCATTGGCATCTTTTCCTGAGAGCGCAACGATTGTCAGCTCTGCCTGGCTATAGATCTCAGTCATCTAGTAGATCTGAATTTGCTTGTTCGCGGCACCATCCTGCAAAATGCACAAATTGTCCTACAAAAAGCTCCTAGCTGTCCTAGTTGCTTAAGGCTGTAATACTAAGAAAGAAAAGTTTGCTAGTAGTTATTACCTAACAACTGTGGAAGGTTATATCCCATTAAATGGCTGTGGTGTTTAAGGTCGTACTTCACATTGTCTTAGCCAGAACTTCAGCAAGATGTTTGACATCAAAGTTGAAGACCCAACTCCTAGGACTAAGAAGCAGAATCCGCATTCCTTTCTCATCAGAAGGTCATCACCAACTGGAACAAGGTGGTGCCAGTATTAGATGCGAAGAACGTTGTTATCATACCATTCTGTCTTGCAGAGAAGTGTGAAGATAAGATTAAGGACTTATACTTAAGACAAACTAAATAAAATTGCCGCTCCTGGCACAACTCTCCAACGTAAGCATACTAACCTCTATATACATCTACGAGACCTTCTTACCTTTTAATAAGGTTGAATGTTCGAATAACTCCGGTATATCTCCGCTCCCCGATCCTTAGAGGATATTGACTGTGGCGAGTTCGCACCACTTATAAGAGATGAATCAGTCTATTCTAGGCTTTCTCAAAAAGGCAGATTGAACTTCCTTCATGAGAATAGGCACTTGTTGCATCAATAAACTTTGACAGAGCGGCGACACTGAGTGCCCTAATCCACTCTGAAGAAGAGTTCGGTCCTTTATGCTTAATATTAATTTCGTTTCTTGCCTCTCTATGTATCCCAAGAGCTTGTTTCATTCGCTCATACAGCATCCATTGTAACACGAACTACAACACACCTAAATGGCTCACGGTTAAGCCCCTATATAAACTAGGAATACCCTCAAATGTGAATATGCGCTTAGTACACTCCCAGGAACATTCATACACTCGTCGTAATCCACCTAAACCCTTCTGGTCAATCTGGAGCCTAGTCTCAATAACCCAAAGTGGATTTGTATACTACTGCTCAATCTCGAAGACACAATTCACAACAATACAATCAACTCTGCCTCACTATTTTGACCCAAATCTGCTTACACATCTATTACGGATTAAGAGGACAGACTGACAGCAGACCACACAGAATAGAGTGCTAAATGTAATAGGAGCCCGCGTCGTATGAGATCAGGATGGGGTGCGAACAAAGACTGCGGGTTGATGGAGGGCGAGCGAACGCGCGCGCCGGGTGTCTCTGAGTGCGGACGATGTGATATTCTAGTAAGGCGATGACAGCGGAGAAAGCTGGGATAATATATCGACAGGATAGATGTAGGTCCATTTTTAGCCTCATTTAGTTGCTGTGAATTTTAGAATCTGGAAGTATGAAACTAGACCGCGTAAGGCAGTGCAGGAACTAGGCAAGAAATGCTAACAGGGTTGCGGGGGTTGGACTCGGCACATTGGGTGCAAGACGCCCCATAAACGGTCATAGAAAACCTCCAAAAAGGAGTCGAAAGTCTCTGGACATCGAGTTACTGTGGTAAACTTGAATTTCTCGTTGACATGTCTGTTAAGAGTAGAGGTGTCCTAATCTCCTTCGGTGACGGTCCAATCTTCGGAGCGGATGCTGTTATCAGCGTAGATGGGGTGTATGGCTATGTTGGAGAGCATGTACTGGTGATGGGCCATCTAACTCTAAGATTAAGATTCCGTGCCTTTGAAGACTGAAAGTCCTTAATATTAATAAAGAAGGCTAAAGAGCTACTTGACAAGGAATATTTCAGCGTACAGAGGCAGTATGGCTTGGTTAGAGATGCTGGGTTCTTCATGCATGGCGCGTTAGATGGAGGAGAGACGGTCTGCGTGTGCTATGTAGGTTGACAAGGAATTGGGCTAAGATAAATAGAGAAAAGGGGTCGATAGGGATGCGCGAGAAAGGTCTATTAGAAAGTGAACTACCCCGATAATCAAGAAGGGTATAATTAAGTTAAGTGGAACTTGGCCAATTAATATACGCTGGCCATGATAGGCAATACTGGAGAATGCTAATCCAACGGCTTTCGCGGAACTACATCACAAGGAAAATACCCCCACCTATGCAAAAGGCTGCGTATGTATCATAGAGACGCTGCTTATTGCATAGCCCCGTAGCAGGGATGTGGGGCCGGTTAAGCTATCAAGCTTGCAATCAGAAGTGAGAGAACCAAGTCAGCCTAAAGCTGCATTTCAAGTCTCATTTAAAGCCTATGATTAATTGCGACGGCCAAGAGCTCAGAGAAAAATTAACTTAAGTTATAGAGTTGGTATCATCATGTGTGGAGGGGGCAAGACATGGGCTTGGATATTAACAAGATTGAAGAGGCATGGCTAAAGTAATAGGGGGTTATCCACGTGCTTGACTAGAAATAACATAAGTATTAGACTCTAGTTGCAATGAGGGCCGTAGAATGATTTATTGAGAACTCTTATATAATCTACATAGCTTCAGAGGAATATAGGTTCTTTCTAAATAAGTGTCCTCTGGCCGTGATAGAGACTGGTGTTAACTATAATCTGTTTGGCGAGTCTCTAATATGAATTTTACTCATTTCATTCCTTATCTAGAGATCGCCAGTGGTAGCATCCTGCAACTTAACGTTGCGTCGCTGGATGCGGATGCGATCATTTTGTCAACGACTAAGCTACACTGGTTGGTTGGTTGGCTTTGCTAGATTACTTAACATGCTACTATGAGTAAATGCCTGTTTGGGCAATCGCAAGTAAGAGTTTTCCCATTACTTGAGTCAACTCAGAGTTACTCGACGCCTTTGTCACACTTAGAATTTTCGTAGAGGAAGCAAGCGGCTGAAGTTTTATGAGGCATTGGGAAAGGAAGAACTATAGCCTTAGTGCCTTGATTGGCTGGGAATTTACAGCGGACTATTAGCAGGTGAAGGACAAAACATATTCACATCATTAGAGCCACTTAACTAAACGCCTGCGGTGCCACAAGCATGTAGAAATTCTAAGATGCCAGATATAGCTTGCGTGGTAGCATTAAGAGGCGGCTTTCTACATTATATATAGAAATACTGGGTTGCATTAAGGATTAGATTGAATGAAATACGGATATTAAAAGCTGGGATCACATATTACGGCTAGATTCCAAGTTGTCGCTCCCCAATACTTCCCGGCTCCACCAGGCATGCTTCCCACCACAAGGACCAGTGTAGTGATGGAGATGACGCAGGTTGCACAGCTAAAAGGTAACCATCCAATGTGTTAGATTCTCCTTTTGCTAGTGGTTCTCTCCTAGTCTTCGTAGAATCTAAAACGATTGATGGAATGGGCGAGAGATGGATTCAAATGCATGCATTGGTTGGGGTGCTTTATATTGGGTGATTTGGGTCTCCTCGCGAAGAGAGGGCAGACCATGTGGAGAAGTGAGAGGCCTCAGGCATACATTTTAAATTAAAGTCAGCCACTTACACAAATGGGAGGGAAAGAATGTCGAAAGGTATCTTGGCAGGGGTGTTCACCGGACGTGGCTGAACGCCTTAATTGACTTTGGCGTTCGTATGATTTCTGAAATGCAAGGCTGATGCTTTTTGGAGTAGACTGGCTGATACAACGGTTTGATTATCGCCCGGGAATGGCATATATAACCTATGAAGGTGTTATTGTGGAGCGCCCGATGTTCTTCTTGGCTCCCTTGTATGGGGTGTAAAAGGAGGAGAAAAAAAACCAGCTGGCGTGGGTTTGCTCCTTTTCACCAATCGTGACGGCCATACAAATAACTCCTTTAAAACAGAAACCGGCGGTGAAATGACTACTAACTTGCTAAGGCTCTAGCCGTGATGCTCTCATGGTTGAACGGTCGCAGGCTGTTATCTTCCTAGGCGCACAACTCGTCCGATGAATTCTGTTTAGCTTCTCTCCATAGTGAACGTTGAAACTTGTGGAAAGCTGTACTAAAACCGCAACATTTCTAGTTACCTGGACCGATACTGGTCCTAAGCTTATCGCCGCACGGCCTATCGCTCCGTTCGCGCGCTACGCCCGGCTAGAAACCCAGAGACAAACATTTTCTGCCGGACCGGTAATAGATTAGAATAAAGAGGAATAGAAAGTGACTTACGAGTGTTGAGATAATATCATCGATGCGCTGTTCACAAGAGGCTGAAGGGATATTTACGCGTATATTGGGCATTAGAGGACGTTAGTTTAAGCAACCTACTAGCGAGGCAAATGCGATATCGGAACTTGGATCCGAATACTACAATCGACTGTTCATGCTTCACCTCAGTGTACACCCCATGAATTTTTCAATGCAGGCCTTCAGCCGACTTCCATTTGATGCACAAGTAGAATACCATCCATGTATGCGGTTGGCGTCCTTTCATTCCTCAAAGCCGTCCCCGCCGTCCCACCGTTGCATGAATTGACTGGGAATGCAATCCCACCACTATCCATCCACCAAAGAAGACTACGCCGAGGCCCCACAAAAAGAGAGAGAAGTGAACACGCTCAGAAGACCAACGCAGCACCCTTCGTCTTCTTGTCTCCACCCAACTCGAAGTGCTTGCATCGCTTGAGAGCTAGCTGAGCCTTGGTCTAGAAAACACAGTCAGAAATATTAGAACTTAGAGAAGAAAATGGAGGGGGATAAGGTAGTACCTTGCAGACAGTGCACTCTAACCGCAGTACAACCTTCTTAGTCGTTTTCGCCCTCTGCAATCATGTTAGCTCCGCTAACCACTGGTGAATTCGAAGTCGGCATGTGAGCCGTACCTTGTGAAACACGGGCTTCGTCTGACCACCATAACCACTCTGCTTGCGATCATAACGACGCTTTCCCTGGGCGAACAGCGATGCCTTTCCGGCCTTGTATTGTGTGACCTTGTGCTGGGTGTCTGCCAACCGTCAACATCCATGCACGGGGTATGGTTCGGGAGGTGAACTGACGCTTCTTGCAGTCTCTGCCTTTGCAGTACGTTCGTCGGGTCTTTGGGACGTTGACCTAAATGAAGCACCGTTAGCCAAATCTCCACCCGACCTAAAGTTCCCAAAAATTGTGTAGCGGGCTCCGGGATTTGAGCGTGTATGACTAGACGAGCGAGGTGTGGAGAAACGGTTCGAAGCAGCCATGCTTGGGACATGTCGCAGGGATTCAATGTTTTGTACTGATGCTGCCGGGCACGCTGCTTTGCTAAAGTAGCGAGGCGGTTTCCGTTGGAGACAGCTGATGAGAGATTGTGTAGGCCCGATCAAGGACATTGGCCATGGAGTGGTTCTTGGGCTGCTCGTCCAACTGCCTGGGAAGTTACCCAGCCGTAGTCCCTTCCTCATTAATCTACTCCCCCAAATCCAAGCGCATTTCCTCCCATTGCAAGATCCCATTCAATTTAATGGCACCAAACTGCCAAACGACGTGGTCGTCCGTGGATTGTGCTTCTCAAGTCTTCAAGCAGGGGAATCGGTCGAAATCGTCGCTGGCGAGTCGCATTTTGTCGCTCGTCCACGTCGCAGATTTGAGAATTCTCCGTAGTAGAGGTTTGGAAAAAAGACTCACCATCTTGATTAATTTTTCGCGGGATCGGTTAGGACGGGCGAAAGAGAGGGTCGTTGGTGTTGATACGCCGAAGTGAGGTTCAATAATTTCGTTTGTGGGCTCGGCTCTGGATTAGGTAAGCGCACTAGCCCCGCACTGCCACATGCTCACGTGCATTGGCCATCTTATTGTATCGAAGGCTGAGGCAGCTCAAGAGGCACCAACTGTACTAGAGTGCACATTACAAACAAGAAATACGCTTAATGGTTCCTGTGGGTGTAGTATTACACTAATGTTATCTTGTTATCCCGGTAACTGATTTAAAAACTACCCATGATAGTGGTATCATATATCCGTATGCACTCCGCCCTAATCTAAGGATGATTCTGCGTAGGCCGCGTGGATCCCGTACGAAGTGAAGCCAGAAAGGATAAACAAAGAATGAACTCAAAAAAATAGTGAAGACTAATAAATCGGCCTGCTTTCCTCCCACGCTGGGTTCGTAAGCTCCTTTGACTGACGCGGAGTTGCAGTTGGGGGGCTGCTCCCTATGAGAGGTCCCAAACTGTATCGAGAGCTCTCCCTCCTTCCGCTTCCACGTCCATCATCGATCATTTGGACTGGGCCAATCCATTCCCACATCCGTGCCACGTCTCCACTCCGATTCTCCCGTACTGCCGCACGCACATTCGAGTTATGCTCCACTTTCTTTTGCACCTTCTCCCATAGCTTCTTGCGCCTGATAGCAGAAAATTCGGTCCGAAGAATATCATCCCGAAGCTGCGTCATGCTGATTCCTAGCTCGGGATACGCGCTGGGCTCTTGATGATTCAGTGCAGCATGATTGGCAAGCCTATCAAAGACATCACTAGCTAACTGCTTCGCACGAGCCTCGGTGGCGCGGCTCGACGTGATTAAGGAGCGCCCATAGAACCCAGACCCAATTACTAAAAATATTAGAACAAGCTGCCAAAGATATCGTTCAAGCGTCTGTCGGAGGGATCTCCTGAAGCTACAGGAGAGGGAGAGCTCGGCGAGAGAGTCTGATGCAAGTGTTCGTCCGCCAGAGGTTCTGTAGCCGCAGCGACCAGTCTGATTAGTACAGGTCTCTTGTCAGAAATGATGCAAATATGGCCCACGAGGGCCTAAGGGGTGTTCACTTACCCGTCCGTGCCCTCGACGATCTCCTCGCGGGTGACCATCTCACCCAAGGCGCTCTTCCATAGATCTTCGAACTCTTCCTGTGACATGCCTTTCCGTTTCATGGATGAAACTGCCTCCATCAACTCAGTTTCTCCAATCTCTGGGCTCTCGACCGCTTTGCCTTCTGCGTCTGGCTCGCCACATTCGTACTTTGCCTTGCGCTGCCTCAGGATATGGACGCTCCTGTCAGCCACCTGGGTGATCCGCCGTGTCTTCTCGCTATCTGGCTCGCACGTCGGAGGAAGCGGAACCAGACGTCCAATTGATAATGGATGAGGTTTCTCGACGAAATCGCGGTCACAGACTACCTCCAGATTTTGATGACAGGTCGCATGTTGAGGGCAAGGCTCACACTGGGGAACAAGGAAGTCGGCCCAGTCTGGAATTTCAATCCCCGCAAGTGAAGTTGAGTCTCTACCGACACCACAATATCCCACAGCGAACTTCTCTTGCCTCCAAGCTCCACCCAAGATTGCTATTGTTGTGCTTAGAAGAGTCAACGAAAAGGCCTTCAAAGTGCCGCTCGCTTTGGATGATTTCTCCTTTCTCCTAGGAGGTAGGATATCCGACTTCCCGGCCATAGCATTTTCGCGAACCAGCTCCAACTGCTCTTCCGGCGTGAACTCCTCTCCTGGCTCAATGTTATCATTTTCGACCTCCGACTCCGCCTTCTTGATGCGAGAAATGGGCATGTCGAACGTCCGGCGTGTCGGGACTACGATGCCCTCGTCATGTTGCTCAACGTTGGGCATAGCTGACCTTCGACGATTCACATCGCTCTTACGCTTCTCCTTGTGCTCGAAGCCCATTGTTTTCCTCCTCCGGTCGCGAGCCTTCGAGTCGGGTAGCGGCGGGGAGCTGCCGCTCTGGAAAGGATTGTCCTGCGTGAATGGGCTCTCATCGTCGTGTCGGTGCCACGCCTCGGGGTCGGGCAAGTCCTGCTTGATGGCGGGAGTGACACTCTTACGGTTGCGACGCACAGGGGGCTGCTCCTCCACTTCAGCGTCCGATCCCCGGGCATGCTTTGTGGGTACAGCCGTCGATGGCGTCTTGCCTCGTCGCACGGGCACGACTCGGTCTTGCTGCTCCTCCGTCGCGGCTCGTGTTGTGCGGCGTGAGGGTCGCCTCGAGGTTGGGGGAGGCGCTAGAAGGGTCTCGTCCTCAGCATCGTCGGTGGTAGTGCTCGCTTGGCTGGAGGGCACATCTTCGATGCCCCGCGTGGATGGCTTCGTGCGCGCCTGGGCTAGGTGTATCTTGTCGGCCTGGGGCAAAATGCGTTCGTTGAAGAGAGCAACAAGCACTGGCTTTTTCGCCGATGATGGATACGTCACGCCATGCTTGAGCAAGATGCTGCGCAGTTCCGGGACTGTGATCTTGCCCACTTCGACCTCTGGGTCCAGGTACCAGTGCTCGTCTCGTGGCTCCGTCATGACTGTCCGTGGGGAATCGTACTGAGGTGGCCAAAAAAAGCGCCGAAGGGAGTATTTGTGCTGAAGGAGGAGATGGGAGAAGCTGGAAGTGGTGAAACAACGCAGGGTTGATGGTGTTGCGTTCGGGCCAAGGGTGGGGTTGGGTGGAGTGAACGGCGCAACCAGGACAGGTCGTGGAGTGAGCTTGTGTTGTGATGTCAGTTGGGAAGGCAACCGAGGCGCTTGGACTATCTTGGTGCCGCACTTGCCACACCTGCACTTGCCACACCTGCACTTGCCACACCTGCACTTGCTACACCTTCACTCGCCACTCTTCACCTTTCCCTTCCAGTTTCGCGCTCTCCACTTCCTTCACCAAATATTCTCGTAGGATCTTTTCCCCGTATCACACTCGGACATTTTCATGCCGTTTGAATCCCCGTCCATTTCCCGGCCCTTCAGTCCTCGGAAAAGTCCAATATGCTCGCACAGGCCAGAGTTGCTGCTTGTTCTTCATTATCCCTTTCATATCCCTTTACAGTTGGGTTGTATTTGTGCAATAGTGGCCCCGGTTTGCATGGATCCTCTTGCACTGGGGCTCAACACTAGCGCTTACTGTCATGATCCTAAATTTCTGAGAGGACATCTCCAACTCAGGTGGCCCAAGCTTGGCCCCCACTTCATAGTATCTGCTGTGTCACGTGTGGATGGAATGGATTTCTTGAGCAACTTACGCAGGCGTCGGTGTATTTCTATTTGCAGTAGCTTCCCATTCCCCGCATCGCTCTGCCGCTGATTTCGTCCTCAATCCAGTCCTATTTCGGCTGCATATCTCTTTTCTGTTATCGTTAGCCAGCCATGGATCCGCTCAGCGTTTCATCAGCAGCTGTTGGCCTCACTCGTCTTCTATATGACCACGGCGACGGCTGGCATCAGATTCTAACCAGTTTCCAATCCTTCCTCAAAGTCATCGATATCCCATTAAGAAAAGGTGGCGTGCCTGCTCTGGTGACTACTTCTGAGATGGATGAGAACTGCGACGGATTGGAGGTTCTCGAGAGAACGCTCGACAGCTTACCAGAGCAGGGAGCGCATACTTGTCGCGTGTATATCGAAGAAAATCTTGGATTTAGAGACGAGTTCAAGGCTCATCTTGAACAATTAGTACCGGATTCCTTTCCAGATATGCATACTTCTCCAGCGACAAATTCTTTTCTTAGATTAGCATCCCAGTGGAGCGCTACTTCTCAACATACCCAGCCATGGTCTTTAGAGACCTACGATTTTGACTCCTCACTAAAGAATAGGCGACTTGCTCCCGGATCTTCTCTAATGTTTTCTGCTGGACTGATACGGCGTACGAGCAAGATCCGCGTAGCGTCCGATGCCTCCGGGCGAATGATTGGTAAGACGAAAAGCTAGATAACGGTGCATGATTTGACGGCTCTGCAGTTTTTGTTTCCTGCATGTCCGAAATGATGGCACTAGAGGAAATTTTCAAGAAATTCTCGACAGGCGATCGTACAATTTCACGGCCAACCGCAAGTACCGTGTTCGCTCGCCTACGAACTATCGGCAACGGCCTCACGCGCCTTGACCGTGTGTACAACATGTTGCACGACCAGGGCGTTCCCGAGGCAGTGAATAGGCAACTACTGCTTCTCCGCTTTTGCCACGCACAACTGGAGCAAGCTTCTGCTATCTTAGATACTATTCAGTTATTCTACACCGCGTTTCGTGAAAGGCTGTCCGATCCGCGCCGAGTGGTCATAACGGCCTCTTCGCTGGAAGAACTCACAAGGGATGCACATCTATACGAGGTGTTTCACCAAAGCGTCTCAAATCTGGCCTCGAGCACTGAGTCGTTACTCTGTGTTGTCGGTCCTAGTCTTTCCAATCAGAAGATCTTCCATGCTCACAGCACCGAGATCAAGTGTATCTGCGAGGACCTCAAGAAAACCTCATCCTCTCTTCTCGGCCGTCTCGAAAATCATCTCAAGTTCATCGAACTGCGGAAAAGCCTGAGGGAGTCTGCAAGCGTGTGGCTTCTAAGCCTTCTAGCCAGCATTTTCCTCCCACTGTCGTTAGCCTCAAGTCTCCTCAGCATGCAGACCCGGCTCGCAGATCTTCATTTTCTCCTCTACGACTTTTGCGGTGTTATTGTCCTCCTTGCCACCATCGTTGGCATCGTAGTTCTCGTTCTGAGGCTTAATATGTGGTGGTCGGACAAACTTGCTAAGTGGGACAGCAACGTTATTTTTCGTAGGAGAATTCGGCCTATTATTGGCTTTAGCACCTGGTCGTGGGTTTTCATTGCATGGGGCCTCGCTCTATCTTCATTTCTTGTCGGTATGATCAAGGACGTGGGACTTGGACTCAGGATATTAGGGTTCGGCGCTGCTATTATTGGTGGCATGCTACTCCTCACAGCTTCTGCGGCTGGATTGCTCTGGTGGCTTATCTCATTGGTTTATTAAGAATCCTCGGATTAACAGGGCAAAGGGCACTATCTTTATCGGGCGGATATACATGAACATCTCTTGTGGCCCACGGAGCCTTTATTCATTTTCTACATATTATCTCAGGCTGGATCACGTGGATAAGGTGGTGGGAGCTTGTTCTATGCGCCACCGAAACCTGGATGTCGAGTATTTGGAGCTTAGATATCAAGATACCTATACCACTCTAGATCTCCTTACCCCTACGATAGAGAATTACTCGAACCCCTTCTTTAGGGGTGCGTTCACAAGGGTAAAAACAAAGACTTGTATAGGGGGGTGGGGAAGACCAGGGAAGGCCTCTAGCAAAAGCAGAAGCAGCGCAAACCGAAGTACGTATCAACGGGTTTGTATCGCTTTGTGTATACAACACGGTCAACCAAGTGTTTTTTTGAAGCCCAAACCGATGGCATAGCCCCAAATTTGATGAGCATGAGATTCTGACACTGAAAACCAAGCTACCAAGGGTAAACTGAGAAGATTAACAAGGAACACGACAATTTACATGCTATGGGGCAGTATCTTATTCTAGCGGTCTAGCCCTATGTAGGGAGTTTTATCCCCTTCTTCAACTGTAAGCTTGGGTGGTGGTGCAGCTGAAGAGTGTTGTATTGATCTAGAGTCTCTAGGCGTAGCCATGATACGTAGAGAGGTACAGGCACTAGTAGACTGTGGCTTGGCCTGGTTACATTATCCTTTACTCCAGAGGGATGTATCCTCATATGGGAGGAAGGAGAGCATTCGTGGTTGTGATGTTGGGTCACAGTTTCTTCGCGATGTTAAAGGGCTGAGATGGAGCGCTAAACTCAATACGGCTGGGGTTATTGTGCCTTGGAAAAAGAGGGTAACAGTCAAATTTTGCAGGAGAAAAGCCGTGGAAAGTACAATGGTGCTAAAACAAGAGACATTCTTATGGAACTTAGCTATCCTCTGCAGCAAATTTCATTGTTTTTTTTCCCAGCCTTCCCTTTCAGTAATATCCTCTTCAGACATTGTAGTTTGTTTTTATTTTTAGTTTGTTGTTTGTAGTTTGTCCTTTTTACCTGTGCGTGTGCCAAGGGCTTGGCAGTGCAAGTCGCATGCAGAACGTCTAGCTCTTGATTGAAATTCTGGCTGTAACTAGCTTTTTGTAAGGCATAATACCGAGAATCACTCTCCACCTCGACCGCGCGTCTTCTCATCAAACTTCCAAGCACCGAGTACAACCACCCCGGCACCCTCACTCATTATACAGAGCTCGCGTAGGTATGCTGGGCAACCGCTCAGCCTGAGTGTTGCCTAGAAACTACGTCACCGAGACACAAGTGAACTCTTGACAATGACATACCCGAAAGCCATGGATTTTCCAAGCGTCTTTTCTGCCTCACCGCTCCACCATCGTAGTTCATGTGTTGTCCTCCCTCCCTTTTGGGTGCCCTCCATGTGCTTGTTTCATTTTCTTCGCTTGCACCCAGCCTCACCCTTTGTCTGACCAATCGCGAACATGTGCTCATTTCCACATGCCCAATCGACACCGTTCACGGTTCTGAAATTTCATTGCATGTAGCTGAAGTTCTCCAATTAATTGTGGCGTTCAAATATGGCACCCGCTGAGCTACCATCAGCCCGCACTTCTCAAATCACGCGGGACTCCCTAAAGGCTGAGGGCGGATTTAGTTGCAGTGCGCAGCCAGATGCTCCCCATCAGTTCACTTGATGGTCATTAAAAAGGCCGAAATGCGCCCAACCTCAGGACTCGGCCATCTCAACTTCCAAGATTCCGGTTACCTCGCCGCCCTTGTCCCCACATTTTTCCCGTAGTCGCCGACAGGAACTGCGAGTTTATTCCCCCGCCGATGAGTTGCCCACATTTTACCCCAGAATTTCAGATTTCGGCCAATGTCACTTTTGGCCAGTTCAACAGTTCATTCAGAGATAACCTCCAGTGCAAAGACACCTACCTAAGGCCGGACCCCGGAGGCGCTTTCATCCCCTGGCTCTATGCACTTTTTTTGCTCCTGTTCCATCTGCCAGCATGCATCATTCGTGCAGTTAGATGGGAGTCCGCACAATACCTCGCTTTGGGGCTAGCTGTTCTGGGCATAGCTTTGACCGCTCAGTCCTTCCAGAGCACATCGCTGCAGGCCAAGAACATCCTAGTTTGGATGCCCTTGACCCTAATTCTGGACGTTGGGGCCATGTTGCAAATGGTCGTTCTAATCATCGAAAAACATGGGGTTCCGGCTCTGTGGGACGCGTTAAAGGATGGCTGCAGCGTTTTAAAGGACGTCATCGTGTCTGGCTTCCGTTCTAGACAGCAAGAAGAGGAGTCTATAGGTATGACTACTCCATTCCCGCCAGAATATGTCATCCTAACGCTTGGCCTGTAGAAATGAATCCCAATCCCGAGAATCATCCCCCGCCTGTTCAAAACAATGCTGCAAGCGATTCTGGGTGTGAAGAGGATGGCGGGGGGAGCGAACACGACCTCGGAGTGCCAGCCAATCCTGTGGCAACCGCAACCGTCCTATCAGACTACCGATTTGATGAGGAGTCACTGAGACATGCTATCGTCGCCATCATCGCCTTCGTCCTCCTCTTAACTCTTCTCTTCTTACAAATCTGGGCGCTCGCTGCTGCTGTTCAAGGTCGAAACCACAAGAAAAGCCTGCGAGTGAAATGGTGTTCTCCGGCATTCCAAGACTTTACACTCGCCATCACCACCGGGAACTGCAACGTGTATGGTATCTTGGAAAGTAGCAGTAACGGTATTAGCTGCATAGAGCTCCCAGCCGTTCTGCAGGATGAGTGGTTGACCGGAACCATCATCTGCCTCTCCGGCGCCATTGTGTGCCAGGCCATTGATATGGCATTGCTGCGATGCGCCCATGGTCGGAGATGTCGTGGCGTCCGGATGCAGCGACCTTGGCTGACGATGTTCGGAGGAGTCATTCTACTCGTCCTCCTAATTACCTTGGGCGTGTTCAATGCAAACAGGCTCCCAGAAGGAGTCACAAGTCTTGTGTGGGTATATAGGAAAGAACCTATGGCAGTAGTTGGAAGCGTTTGTCAAACGAGACTAAAATCGCCCGGGCTAAGGGGAATGATCATTGGATGGACAGACGGCCTTTTTGAAAGCTGGAGCTCAGCTTACGAAGGAAGTGTCGTTCGGAGGCGCGGACTGATTGCACCGTTCTATTAGCAAATTCCAGATGAAACATTTCTAGGGACTTGCTAGAGAGTGAGATTGACTTCAGACTCTTGAAAAACCTGAACTATCGCGAAAATTTATTTCTATGCAGTCATTCATCCGCGTTCATAACCCGCGATATCCTTGATACTCTAGAGAGGAACAATGCTTTTTAGGAAGTATAGAGGCGCCAACCGTTGGTTAGAGCAAAGGCCTAGCTCCATCCAAAACAACCTCCCTCCACAATTCTCACAATTCCGCTATTCCATGCAGTCGAACTGCTTCATCGTCATCTCAGATGAGTGTTATTGCTGGTCAAACTCATGGTCGCTTGTCCAGACTCTCGAAAATTCGCGGTAGGCCCTTCTTTACATCCATTCCTTAAATTTTCTCCAGTACCCGGCCCACTGCTGATGTTTCATGTACGATGCCAAATTTATCACATCCAGTGTCACTTCCATCCAAGATATAATAGTATTTAGGGGCTGATGTGGTCATATGTTCCCTTCCTAAAGCACTGCGTATGGCTAGAATTCACCGTCAAGTCCACTGGAATGCCCAAAAACGTCCCTCCCACATCGAACCAATTGCCCCGCCCCAACTTTTGGAGTCTTAATAATGTTTATTTCATATCTTGCCTCATCACACACACAACATACGTACACTCATAACTCCAAGCCCTCTTGGAATACGTGTCGCCGAGGTTGCTCATATCTTCAAGCGGTTTCGCAGCTTTGCACTATATTGACGTCCAGTGTCACGCAAATTTCAGAACACATTGTCCAGATCAATGAACAAGTCTTGCCAGCTCAACGGCATATGTCGTAAGTTCAAGCCTGGGAAGTCCCACTCGAACACGAATTCGCTTGGTGCATATCCCTGGAAGTCGCTTTCAGCGGATCGATGATCTTCCACTCCAATAGCTGCTCCATCCTCCAAGAGATCATCATTTCCCAGTTCATTGGGAATTGCATTGGGCTGTTGTGCCGACATGTATTCCTTTAGCGCATTTTCACATTTCTCGATGCTGGTTTGCAGAATCTGAAAGTAGGAAATGTGTCCAACGGTGATCTTTTTGAGTTCCTCAAGTACTTTGTGGGCATCGCGTAGAAGGAGCATGAGATCGGAAGGTGGCTCCCGGAGCAGTAGAGCGAGTTTTAGAACGAGAAGAACGGAGTAGGCGCATTTAGCCCAAACATAGTCCATCGTCCATTTGAAGGTCGTCAAATACGCACTCGGACGGTCGGGTTGAGCTTGATCTGGGGTATTATCGTTTGGCGAAATAATAGGTGAGGATGGTGAAGAAGATGCTCGGAGAAGGTTCTTGAGGTGCCGAACTGCCGCGTCCTTGGCCGTGCAAACCATGTCACGTTGGAAATCGTTCATGATGGCGAGGTTTTCAACTCCTGAATCTGACAAGGCTTTCAGATGCAGTGTAATGAGAGCCCATTCGTACTGTATATGTAGATTTAGGAGCGCAAGCGACTTTTCGTAAGGTAATGGGTCGTTTGAGATTATGCCAGTCCATTCATCCAGCCAAAGTGCTAGCTCAAGGTTGGTGGTACGGACGGTGGAACGAAGGATACTCTCGCTGTTAGGAACTATTGGTGAGCTACGTTGATTCGCCATGTCAATGTACGCATTTGTTCGGATGATATTCAATTCTACTTGAGACAAGAGCCTAATGTCGACTAGTGTCTTCTCGGGGTGGTTCAAGAGGGCGCGTACTCTGCGAGGCGAGGTATCTAGTGTTATGCCGGGGAGTTTACCACCGTCGAGCGAAAAGCTATCGTAGAGCGATTAGCAGGGTCGCACAAGCTGGAAATATATTACAGAATTGCTCAAACTCACAACATTTCTAGGTTGCAGACGCCAAACCATACTCTTGCAATTCGATATAGCTCTCTTTCTTCTGCCCCGGTTTCTTCGCTTGTCCTTGCTCGTTGGGTGCTCTTGCAGACCAGGCGATCGACTGCATTTGACATACCTAACTCCAGAGCAAACCTCAACGAGATTGCACTTAAAGTAGAGCCATTCTCGGAGTAGCTTGCCATTACCGTGATGGCTTGGATGGTCTCGAGAGAACTTAGGTTAGATATACTAATCAACGCGCTTGTGAGATGCTCTCTGAGCCGTGATTGAAGTCGATGATAGATAGGTGAGCTAAAGCCTTCTTCACAACGACAGCCGATACTAGTGATAGCATCGAAGAGAAAGGCGCTACGGGAGGCAACCGACTGGAAGGTGTCGACTTTCTCACAGAAGATTGGGACAAGAAAATGCTTGACTAATTAGCCCGGACTATTGGAACGCACCGAGGGATATATACACTGCCAGAGAAGAAACTGTCAGTGAGTTAGTCAATCTCAAGCCTTGAACGCATCGATGGCAACATCCCTCTGAAACCATAATGCTGCTTGATCCCATGTAACCCAACCTTTCTCAACAGCACTGCGGCTGAACCCTGCGCTTGTCATTCCATGGGTTGATGCAACGCTCGACGAGAGGAGGGGGGAAATTGAGATTGTACGACTGCCAAAACGATGGGCATCGGGAATGGTTTCTAATTGAAGCGAAGCAACTAAGGATCCATTTGCAATTGTCGAATATCTCGGAACTGGTGAACGGGAAGACTCAATATGCCCGGATCCTGACATGTTGCTCTGTAATGTATCTAATCCCGCTTTCAGGGCAAAGAGCTGTGACTCAAGGTTGTCGAGACGAAGAGAAGTTAGATCTTTTACGGATTCATGATATTGACAAATAATATCGTTTCGTGTACAGCGTTGGCATGAGGGGCGGTTCCCATTGCAACGGACTTTGGAGGCCCGGCATGCGATACAGGCGTTAATGGCCCTCCGTTTTCGCGGCGGTTCTGAAGTTGACGAGTCCATCGGTAAGTTCGCACGAGGAAGAGGCAAGAGACGAGAGCCTGCTTTTTGATTGTGGAGAGAGCAGCTGGCCTGGCGTGATGAGGTGCGGGGAAACCGCGTCATGCAACCTCATAGGAATAACTTTTCCGGGTCGTGTAGTGGCCCATTCCAGTGTTCTTCCTTCCACACCACAGGTACGCTATCATCCGTTCTCAATTACATTCGATATATATCCATTGCTATCCACCCAATACCTTGGCGTTATTAGAACACGTAGATGAAATCTTCGTTCTTCAGATCCGTTTCATCATCAAACGCCTTCTCACCAACGCCACCTACCTCGGCATTCACCGCTTCGTCAGCATCCATCATCTGACGACTTGTTTCCATACTCAGATCAACAATCTTTGCTGCTTTGCCCATCTGAGTCCTCGTAGCAGCATGCCTGCGATTCAGTATCTTGATCCAAGCAGTCGCCAATACGACCAGCACCGCAATGGTCACAAAGAGCGCAAGATTCGACCGCAACCCGCGTGAGTAATGGGGTGCTTCAGCTGGTGTAAAAAGATGGGGCCCGATGATATTCCCAGCGCTAGCACCGATGAAGAGAATACCTGTTGTGACCTTCCTCTTCGTGTCTCCGCCAGTGTTCTGACCTGACCACGAGTATATTAGGGGTGAGATCCCTGGATAAAATGAGGTCAGGTAGTAGCCGACTAAGAGAACTGCACGATGCTTCTTTTCGCGCCCAACAACCATGAGTATTATTATTCCGATGATAGGTGGGACGCAGAGGAGAATTAGCACAGGCGATTTCTTCTTCTGCTTTGTAGCGAGCCATGCCCCTCCTAACGTTGCGATCATTTGGATGAGCCCAAAAGGCATGTTGAAGAGAATGGTCGCAAATTTACTAAATCCGAATGCTTTAATGATAAGGGGCCCAAATGTTGAAATCCCACCGCTAGGTATTCTTGGGCAATATCAGTACGGGCTCGCTAATAATTGGAGGCGAATGCTTACGATACGGCCGTGAGCATAGAGAACCAGAGCCAAGTTTTCAGGTCCAAGAACGCTTCCATGACATGCCCCCACTTCCAAACACGAGAAGCCACTCCCATTTGATTCATCCGAAGCCTTTCAACTGCAATGAGCTTCTCGTCGTGGCTGAGGAACTTCGCCTCCATTGGGGAGTCGGGCATAAAGATGAAGACAAAGACTGATACCACGACGGTTAGGAGACCGCAGAACAGGAATATGATTTGATACGAGTAAAGATGAGCAGAAGCAATATGCCCAAGCCCATACGTCAAGAGGCTGCCGAGGATGTTCACGACACCCAACATCGCGTACCATGCGGCATTTCGGTTTGTTTGTTCGCTCCGCCGATACCACATTTGAACAACAGCAATGAACGCGGGAGCTTGACAGGTGTTAATGAATGAAGAGGGTTGAACGGAGTCACTCACCAACCGCAGCTTCAAAGGCACCTAGCAAGAACCGGGTTACCATGAGGCCGCTGAAACTAGTCGCTGCAGTCATGCAGCACAGAATAGCTCCCCAAAGGAAAACCATGACTCCCGTGAATTTGCCAATCGGAAGTTTGACTAGCAGAAGGGCCACCAGAGGCTGCATGACAAGCTGTGCAATGTACACAATTGATCCGAGCCACGAGTACTCATCCGACTTGGGGTTGATGTTGGCATCTTCAATCAGCCCAAAAACCGACGCGTAAGACAAGGTTGTCTTGTCGAGGCTCTGGAGGCAGTATACAATGAGCAGAATAGGAAGGATGGTTAGATCAATCTTTCGAAGGACGTGTTTGTTGTCTTCGGGAGAGACGTAGAGGCGCTCATTGGCATTCAGCAACTCGGCAGCCTTGTCTCTTCCTCGCTTGCTCTCAGCCTGCTTTTGAACCGTTTCGATGGTGTCAACTTCATTCTTGCAAACTTGAGGCTCGATTATATTTGAAGGGTCGGCTGTCGACATTCTGACTGAGAATATGCAATTTCGCAACAAGGACTGCGTTGCAGTAGAGGATGCATGAGGTTTTAAGGTCGAAAATCTAATGCCTGATAGGGACGCCGAAATCCTATTTGGGCATTAGTATCGGCCGAAGTTCCCGAGCCCCAACCAGGTTCCTCCAATTCTGTGACTACAAAATGGTTCGAGTCAGAACCGGCGAATCTATGGCCGCTACATTTCTCTGACGGATTTTCATTGCATTCTGTTCATCCTGTTGACCGAGTTAGCTCGCGCCGTCACCGTTATGCCTCGACTAGAGTACGTCCCTCAGCACTTTCAAATTGCCCCCAACGACGAAACAGCGTTAAGCCCAGTCGTCAATCTGCAAGCACGCGAGCATGAAAACATCTTCAAGTTTTCTTTCCAATCCTTCGGCAAAGGCCTTTTCCGTACGACCTTCACTTCCCGAGATCATCCTCTTCCACCACATCGAAGCGCAGTCATCCCAGACGGGAAGTTTGATCACGTGCAATGGGCCAGCTCCTCCCCAACCCTAACATCACGGCGGTTCAGTCTTGACGAAATGGTTGTGACATTGGATTGGCGCGATGGTCCTCCACAAATCTCCCTCACACTCTCCGGGCAAAAATCACCCATTCATTCTGATTTGCCTTATCGCTCTTACATTGCGGATGGACCAGGAATCGCCCACTATACGAGATACAACAATGGCACACTTCACGTAGGCCTAGGAGAAAAGCCATCGCCAATGGATCTCTCAAACCGCCACTTTGTCCTCTCGGCGACTGACTGCTTTGGTTACGACGTATATCGCACTGATCCAATGTACAAGCATATCCCACTACTCATCAATGCTACTCCTGATGGTTGTGTCGGGCTGTTCTCAACATCCCACGCACGTGGGTTTTACTCTGTAGGCTCCGAGATGGATGGTATGTGGGGCCGGTTTAAAGTCTACAGGCAAGAATACGGCGGGCTGGAGGAATACATCATTGTAGGACGCACGCTCGAAGATGTCGTGCGGAGATACGCAGACCTGACCGGATACCCTATGCTAGTGCCGCGGTGGGCATTTGGGTACATTGCTGGTGGGATGAAGTATTCGATGCTTGATGAGCCAAGGGCTTGCGATGCGCTGATGGAATTTGCCAAGAAATTAAAGCAACATGATATTCCATGCTCGGCTTTTCAGATGTCATCCGGGTATACCGTTGCAGAAAGTGAGCCAAAAACCAGGAACGTTTTTACCTGGAATAGACACCGATTCCCTGATCCAAAAGCGTTCATAGACGCCTACCGCAAAGAAGGCATACGTTTAATTGCTAACGTCAAGCCTTATGTCCTAGCTAGCCATCCAGAATATGAGAAACTGAGAAAAGCTGGTGCTTTCTTCATAGATCCTGTCACCCAAGAGAGCGCTACTGCCCGTCTCTGGAGCGCCGGGGGTGGGGAAAGCGACATTGGCGGCCACATCGATTTTACGTCTTCGACAGGATATCGATGGTGGTATGAAGGTATCCGCGAGCTTAAACGAATCGGCATCGACAGCATCTGGAATGACAATAACGAGTATACGCTTCCAAACGATAACTGGCTGTGCGCACTCGATGAATCCTCAGTGAGGAAGGGAGTAGGGAAAGTTTTGAGAAACGATGTAGGCTTCTGGGGAAGGGCCTTGAACACCGAGCTCATGGGAAAGTCATCCCATGATGCATTGCTAGAAGTCAAACCGAACGAACGTCCATTTGTGCTGACGAGAAGCGCGACGGCTGGAACTCTTCAATACTGTGCGAGCTCATGGAGTGGCGATAACGTTACCAGCTGGAAGGGAGTGAAAGGCGCTAATGCACTCTCACTGACGGCTGGAATATGTTTGATGCAGGTAAGTGTTATACAATCTATGGATATGTTCCAGGATTTAAAAAAGTTCTGCAGTGCTACGGTCACGACATTGGGGGGTTCGAGGGTCCACAGCCCACACCCGAGCTCTTGGTTCGCTGGATCCAGCTCGGGATCTATTCCTCTCGATTCGCAATCAACTGCTTCAAAACATCCCCTATAAACAATAACGTTGGCGATGTGATAGAACCTTGGATGTACGAGGAAACAACTTCGATAATTCGTAAAATCATCAGGCGACGATATGAACTGATCCCTTACCTCTACTCCCTCGCACTCGAGAGTCACATGACGGCTGTTCCTCCGCAAAGATGGACTGGTTGGGGATATGAGGCTGACCCGGAAGTCTGGAAAAATCGTGTGCTGACTGATGGAGAAACGCAATATTGGCTTGGAGGTTCTCTTCTCATCGGAGGTGTCTACGAGCCAGGAGTCTCCTCGTCAAATGTGTATCTTCCGAAGGACATCGCTGATCCAGGACTACAATATCTCAACCTGAACGCACCCCAGACGTACTATTCCGCAGGTCAATGGATCGAAATTGACTCTAAGTGGGACGAAAGCATTCCCGTCCTAGCTAAAGTTGGCGGAGCGATTCCCATTGGTCGGCCTTGTCAGACTCTGTCCGTCGGTGAAACTCGTAACCCCGCAACCCTTCCTCTGGACGACTATAGGGCAATTGAGATTTTCCCGTCGGCAGGCTCCTCCAATGGCAAAGAGTATACAAATACTTGGTATGAAGATGATGGAATATCCCCGCCACCTGCATGTGTGTCTTCATTTACCATTAGATATACATCTGATGCACGGTATGTTAATGTAACATTTGAAGAGAAACTACAGCCAGGCTTCATGCCCACATGGACCAATCTCGTGGTTATTCTGCCGTCGGGAGATAAACGAGGGGTGACGTTTGATGGGAACCATGCCGTCTTGGTAGAAGTGGATGAGAACCAGCGAGCTCACTTTAGAGGGCATACAGATCGATCGCGTGAACGAATCGAGGTTAACGCGCAATCAAAATTTTAAAGCCTTCATATTGATGATAACGAGGGACAACACGAGCTTTTACATAGCAAAGAGTAAGAACGGCTTTTTCCTGTGAAACCCATCACTCGCTTTAAATTAAAACTTACCCTACAAGAACGCTGAGCCTCTTGACTTGGTTTTCCACCTAGGAGGAAGCCTCCTGGACATATGTAACTCGGCGAGTTCAATGTGATATCTTTCATCATCTAGATATTACGGGCTTGAAGTTGTCGAACGAAAGAGAGGTTAGGCGAGTGTGACAACAGATGATCATATCCTTAGAAGGAAGTCTGAGGATTTAGCATTAAATCCCTATAGAGTATTCATGTAGCGGGAAGCGACCTATGAGAGCGCCACTGCGACCGCTCAATTCCTGACTATACAAGCTAAATATACCGCGACCTAACAGCTCTACAGGTATAGTTGTCAGGTGCGATTACACTTTCACCTATATCAATGAACTCTTGAGGAAGTATTGGCAAGGCGAGTGCATCCTTTGGCCGGGACTTTCTGCATTCTGTATATGCTTGGTTGCATAGAGTTGATGGATTCTTTGCCACAGAGCCGGCGGTTGCGCTAGTTCTTTACGATGATTGGACTCTCTCCGGTATGATTAAAGATGCAGTTCGTGAGAAATCTTTTCAGGTGAAGAGTCTAATATTGTCGAACGTCACTTGACTTAACTTAAGGAGAGGGCAGCAGCTCAACTTTTACTCATCAACAGGATAAGATGATAAATTTTCTCATGTCAAACTGCGGGTCAAGGTGGGACTCCTCAAGTGGATCTTGGGTACTGACCCTTCAACCTGAAGAACTTCGCTTTGAAATGTATGCATCATATTGTATTAGCCCTCAACGATCAAGAACCACTGGCGAAGATTTGAGAAGAACCTGACTACCTAAAAGACCGCATGGCATTGCCATATAGTGAGGCTCATTCCGTCATATACAGACCGGGAGTACATTAGGATAATTATGCGGCTAGTGTTGGATGAGTATCTCAAATCATTTAGGACCGTTTTCGGTTGTCTAATCCTGGCCTGGTGCTTCGTTATTACAACAGAATCCTTCACAAGGGTTTTAACTAGAAAACAAATTCAATAGGGTTACTAGTGTCATCGATGTATGTCTTACAGATTTTGGAACCCTAAGAAAAATTGGAGAGGTGAGGTGCTGTTCATCTATCGCAAGGTGAGCCGAGATGGAGCTGATGGAGGGCATATATACAGAGGCGAGCAGACAACTAGGTGTTGAGAGACGACCTAGGCACATTGAGGTGAGGTGTGAGGTCCCTGGAGCTGGAGAGAGCTCCGAGGGCAATATATAGTAGCTAAAAGAGCGCTAGTCCTAGACAGGAAAAGGGGGAGAGGTGAAGGACCACATTCACCCTGACACAGGGTCACGTGAACTAATGTCACGTGCTTTACTTTTAGCTGGAAAATTAGAGCATGGATCCCCAGAGCTGGGCCACGAAGTTGTGGATTAAGAATTAAGACCGACGATTTTTTTTCGCTGTAGTGCGATTTCCTAACTCTGCTGACGCCCTTACAGAAAACTCAGCGGTGTTTAGTGATTCGGCTGTGTTTTGTACAACTAGTCACGACAATTCTCGAGTCCTCGACAATATGATCCAGGATATGAAGATATATTACAACACCCACAGCGCACATATGCTGAGATTCTGGTAGGATTAAGAAGCTAGGAGAAATGAACCGAGCAGCTACAATCGAGAAAGAAGGAGGACGATACGCTGCTGTTAGATATCGCAGGGTTAGAGCTGATTGATGGTGGAGAGCATGGAGCAGTCAATTAGGTAATGAGAGGCAATCTAGGTATATTGAGGTGAGGTGTAAGGTCTCTGGAGCTCGAGAGAGCTCAAATATATAGTAGCTAAAAGAGCGCTAGTCCTAAACAGGAAAAGAGTGAGAGGTAAAGGACCCACATTTACGCTGAGATGGGTGACGTGAACCAGTTTCACGTGCGACATTAGATTCTATGCATATGATGTTGCAAAGCGTGCAAGTGGCTCCTCCTCCCGCTTCCCAGGGCAGAGCGAAACTGCGAACACAAAGAGGGGTGACCGATTCTGCTGTTTTTGATGGCTAGAGAGTGGAATTAATGGTTTAGCCAGTAATAATTTATTCTAGACGCGAGCAGCCCCCTAAAATAGGCTCACCCTATTTAGGAAGGCATGTTAGCCTGCTGTGATGTCTTTTGCGTGCTCCTTAAAGTGCTGCAGCAAGTCTACACCAAACTTATTCGTCATCCAACCACTCTCATTCATTGTGATGATCTACTCGTGCTAGATATCGTCGCCGTCGTACCACAGAAAGAGATGTTAGGTCCCAGTGAAGATGATGAATGGTGGTATCGCCTGGTGGTAGTGCCTTTAGCTGCTTATGCTTTTTAGAGCTTTTAACAGCTTTTCTAGTGACATAACACCCATCTAGAAACCAGTCACACCATGTTTGTAGATCATCGTCAGGTATCTTATACAGAGTGCTCGCCTGTGAGAAACGTCCACACTTTTAGTAGTGAGTATTCTTCGGATCTCGTCTCCGGTCCTCTTTCTGAATCTTACCTTATTCAATAGTCAGCTAGGAGTGGGTCTCTTGGGGTGATGACAAAGATAGACCTACTTATAAATTGATTAGAGATGCCGGAGTATCGCTGCACCGTCCCCCATTAGCCTGACAATAACAAATTCCGAGAAGACTCTCAGGTATTCATTATAGCCCTCCTATGCCCCAAGCAACTGAGGAACAAAGCAGTACTCAGTATCCCGTAAGTCAAATATCTGCAATTTACCCCACCATATATTCTGCAAACATATAATACGCCCTCCAAACTTCACTGATGCTACGGTTATTCTCTGCGTAACCGGTAGGGCAAACTAACCAAACCTTCTAGTTCAAATAGACACCAAACCTTGAGCTACCACTAATTTCACCCTGAACGTGTCTTATCCATAATCTGGAGCTAGAATTTGAAAAGCAGTAGTATATACTCTCGGAGTGCCGATATTGGAAACTCTAGTTATAGTCTTAGTCATTGCCGGAAGCACAGCACGGCCCGTGATATCGTTTGTCGAAGGTGTCATGGAATTGGCAGACATTGAGCGGTACCAAATCAGTGCGGTAGCAGCAGAAACAGCGATTACAGGATTAGGTATGGATGGCCAAGGAGCACTGCGGGGATCCAATATTTTGGTTCAAATTTTAGGAGCAGGAACATTTGAAGACTCCGGCAAACCACGAGATGAACCGAGTCCTCAAACTGCTCTGAGCGGGCGAACTTGTATTCGGTCATGGATTATGTACCAGTTTCTCAGAAACTACGAGGTCAATGGCGCTAAATTGATCCATGTTTGTTTTTCTACTTGATAGAAGTCGCAATGTCTTCGTGCTAACCGGGTCCAAACGCTCCGCGACCTTCTCCTTTTGGCGGCTCAAAGTAAAATCGGACCAAGGACTATTCTGCGACTAACCCTCTCTAGGATCTACTCGGATAGTGTTAGAATAAACTAAGCTGCGATTGCTGCACGATGACGGAGGCACTGTATTTTCTTGTTGAGAAATTTGTTCCATCTGCCTTCCAATGTCCTTTCGAAATCTGGAATAGTGGGATCACGAGGCATTTATCAGCATGCCGCGACAAAGAATCCCATCCGATATGTGGCCAAACATTCAGGCTATATTCTGCCAATTCTTCCACGTCGCACAATAATTGAACAGGTATAGCAGACCAACGCCCACTTAGGGCTCATCCACCTAACGCTAAATCACGGATTCTAAAGCTTGGATCCATACCATCGGCCAGGAAATCACGGGGAAGCACTCAGATCATTGATCACTTGACTTGGCTGACAGAGAAAGACCAAGGCACCTCCGTAGCCCCACATCGGATTAGGGTAGTCGGTTAAGAAATACGAGGACGAAAATGGTTCACTGCAGGTTAATACGAAGTGTTGCTCTTGGCTATAAGACTTCACCACCTCCCTGGGAACTTATGACGTACGTTGCCGCATTCAATGTTGATCTCAATACCTGGCTCCCTGTGTCTTGGCCTGACAACACGGCGAGACGCACTCTTGACGACAGTATCGGGCTGGACTTGAATGTGGGTCGTCCCTGATCACATTTGGAACGTTTCTAGCTCTATAATCCAAGATTCTTCTTATCTTGGCGTCCTAGTAAGTTCGGCGTCGCATTTCATGATGAAGTTGGGAAAATTTAGTCTACGTCACTGGTGTCGGAATTTTCGAAACGAAAACATTTAAGTCTCTGGACCCCAAAATGCTCCCAAGCCCCGCATATCAAATCCTTCTGCAAGATGTTCTCCCTTTGGATTCTATATATTGCTTTCCTTGGTCTCTTCGCCGTGCCGACTTATGGAGACGCCTGCTCCTTCATCGAGGCAATTGGCACTGTAAACGTTACCCGTCCATTGGATCCAGCTTACGTCTATGAGCAGACTCAGTACTGGTCAACGTCGTGCAGCGCGCTGAAGCCCTCGTGCATCATCTTTCCAAACTCCGCGGCTGAAGTGGCAAGCATTGCTAAGATCATTGCTAACACGACGGAGTCCTGGGCAATCAAATCGGGAGGCCACAACCCCAACAACTTCTTCTCAAGCGTTGAAGGGGGCCCCCTCATCTCAACTGACCACCTAGACCAAGCTGTATTAGACCCTGTTACCGGAATCGTTGATGTTGGACCGGGTAATCGACTGGATTCAATTGCAGCGAAACTTCAGGGAAGTGGGTGGACTTTTGTTGGTGGGCGCATTGGCAACACTGGTGTTGGTGGTCTCGTGCTTGGGGGAGGGCTCTCCTACATGTCGGCGCAGTATGGCTGGGCCGCATCTTCAGTGCTGGAATATCAGATGGTTCTCGCTAATGGTACCATCACTAATATCTCTGCTACCTCGAACCCGGACTTCTTCAAGGCACTGAAGGGCGGGGGCAACAACTTCGGTATCGTGACCAACTATCGTCTCCAAGCGCATCCTCAGGGGAATGTCTGGGCCGGAAACCTAGTGTTCCCTCATGCTTCCTCCACGGCCACAAAACTTCTCAAGGCTATACGGGACTTTACTGAGTACAACGATGATGACAAGGCCGCTGTGATCGTGACCGCTGAGCGAGCCAACCTCGATGCGGTCGACTCGTGGATTCTCTTCCTCTTTTACGATGGAACAGTACCTCCGGCGGGCATTTTCACCAACTTCACATCAGTTGGGCCGATACTCAACACATGCCGGGAGCGCACTTACGCCGACCTTATGATATCCAGCAACTGGGTTGTCGTCAAAGCCTCTGTTGTGGACATTGGAACCGAGACCATTCCCATCCCAACCGCTGAGAACTTTTCTAAAGTAATGGAGACGCTTCATGTCCACTGGCGCAATGTTTCAAGCACTGCTCTGGCCGTGCCGGGTATCGTTGCTTCGATTGCGTGGCAACCCTTCCCTAAGCGCATCGCCCAGAGAGCGAAAGCACGCGGACCTGACCTAATCGACGCTGACGACTCTGTAGACCGCATCATCATTGAGATGAACTACAGCTTCATCCCACTATCCGCATATGGTCAAATGGCAGACACCCTAGAAGCAACATACACAGGGGTTCGCAACAGGGTTGTCTCATGGCAGGCAGATGGGACACTTCCACAGGCATATCTTCCACTTTTCATGAACTACGGGTTCTTTCGCCAGGATTACTTCGGGCGGCTACGACCAGAGAACAGGGCTTTAGCAAGATCGGTAGCGTTGCAAGTGGATCCACAGGGGTTGTTTCGGACAAGGACAGGCGGTTGGAGGCCTTGATGTATGTTAGTGACTTGAGAACCCGGGGGGTTTCCTCAGAATGAGTGATACAAAGGTGCGGCTTATTTAATCCGACATCGTTTCGAGATCAATGCATTATGCATAGGTTCTTACATATGTACTATTCCTATCCCATTCACGAAGTGGGACTATAGTTACGTTATTGGGAACTGACTACTTCGGACTGTTCTGGCCCGCTTCAACTTGGAAAGCCGACAACTTGGAAATTATAGTTGCAAGTTGACCCTGAACTCGAGACCTAAGAGGTCGTTAGCGATGCGACGCAGGAATCCACAAGTCTCTCTCACCTCAATGGGAGCATAGCCACCACCAATCATAGTGCTTCCATCCCAAACCTCCACGGTTACCTTCCCAGCTGTGAGACCACCAAATTTGAACTTGTTATAGCCCTCTACTAAATTTAATTTTCCAAGTTCCGTTTGTCCAACATTAACAACACCAACTAAGTTTGACTGACCCCTAGCGACGAGTATCACGCCACTCACTGCGTCCTCTGCATTAACAATTTCTTGAGGCTTTCCCATCGTATCTAAACCACAATCGGCGTTAACAAGAAGCGTGTGGTGCCAAAATGCTCCCTGCATAGCTCTACCATTGGTAGGTAGAATATTCGCCGTCGTCGTATCCCCGCGCTTCCACGCCTGAATGAATGCGGGGAGGATCTGCCAATATCCGGTATGACTGTACCCGTCGACGTATGTATGAATTGGGGATCCAGTCATCGGCTCGTCCCAGATGTTCCCCATGTAATGGCTCTCACCAGCGTCATTCCAGGTTTGTAGTTCCAGCATGTCCGGTTGCATCTCTAGCACTTGCCCGATTCGGTACTCGAGATTCTCTTCCCCACGACGGTACCAATTTTGTGAGCCGTCGATGTGTTTGAATTGGAGCGTTGACATTCCCATCATGAAGAGCTTCCCGGCGCTTCGGGCAGCAGCCATGTATGCCTGGTCATCTGCCGTCGACACGGCTGTTTTACCAGCCTCCGGGTATGACCAGGAATTCCAATTGAAGACCCCGTCAAGAATTGGGCGATTGCTGAATAGAGAGTCGCTAGAAATGCCTTGGTAGAAGCCAGGAATGATAACAACGTCACCTACTGCGCTCTTGAAGGATGCCCATTGGTCATTACTAACGCCCTCACTACCGAAGGTCGATACTAACGGCTTGCCGTTGTACTTGTAATATGATGTCCTCGCCATGTATTGTTGTAAAAATCCAGCGTACTGGGATGGATCGGTGAAATATCCCGGCGCCATGTCGAAGGAAAAGAACAACCCGAAGCCTAAATTGTCGGCATTCATAAAGAGGAATTCGACAGTGTTATTTGACCACGTGGCGAATTGATCTAAGATCGTACGAATAAGCAAGCAGTCCCATATACCTCTGATTTGCGCGGCCTCGTACTGAAGTTTAGGGCAAAAGCATCAAGCCCAAGGCTCTGTGCATCCACGATATCTTGTCGGGTGTGCTCATTGTTGATTTCACCAATCATATAGTGGGCGAAACTGTCGGAAATGTCAGTACCGTGAAACTAGTACTAGTGGGACCTGGAGACGTACATGGGTTTTCCGGCGTTTGCACGCTCCGCTGGTGGCAACCCTGAGGCTATCACAGGCAGGGCGCCAGCGACCCAGAGTGAGGAGAGCCGCATTTCGTGGAGAAAATAGTCAAATGATTGAATTGAACGATATTTAAAACGGTGAATCGGAATCGGGAGGCAAGAATGACTGAAGAGACAAAAAGGGTTTGAGAAACAATGCACTGGAAGAAGCGGTGGCTTAGGATTTTTTTAAATGTTTTTGAGATGCATCGTAAGATTGCATTGCATCTTTTGAAACGCCGATAAACGCGAGGCGTGCAACGATGGGCTTAGCTCAGTAGCTGTTTACTCTAGACTTTAGCAACATCGGCGACCGAGGAAAGACCTTCTAATCTGCGCCATTATATGTGATGGTTCGTGTTCATCCTCTTACTAAGTGTTCTCAGATTTTGAAGCTATGGTTTATGCCTGTAGTTAGATAGTGAGGAGGAAATAAACTAACTTGAAAAGGAATAGCCGGCCAGACTCCGCCACTCCGCGTTCCTCCAACCTCCCACACTGTCCGATGGTCGGTAAGCCGTCGCGACAGCTAGGACCTGCAATGTCACATCCTTCATGTTGTCGCCTCCACGGTCTACTCTTTATGAGTCCGGAAATAGAGTCTGCGAGGCTGCTATCGAAAGTCCGATTGGGTACAAATCTCCACCACATGCGCAAACCATCCTTCCCACGAAGGCGGACGGTGGTGTGGGGGCCTCTTACTGGTTCCCGTCTACCACTATTGCGGGCACTGCTAGAACGTGAATCACTAATTTCTGCCGATTAGGGGCAGCGCCTGACTGTCAGTCTCCCAAAAAGTGTTTGCTAGTCTATCAACTTTGCTGGCAACACAACCTCTACATATGTCACTTCACCTCGATAATCCACCCTGTAAGTCTTCGAGGCTGTACTAAAACACTCCGGCCTGAGACATCGTATTGCTGCCTAGTGCCGGCATTCGGACTTTTTCCACTGCCTATGTGCCCATTATCGCGACCGCTGAGGATGAGCGGACAGGATTCTTAAGTTATGCGCCACTTGCTAGATGACAGCAAGGCCTTGTGTGGGGGGCTGTGGGTGACAGCAACGCTGTCTATTTTGAACTATAGGGGCCAGCGACCCTAGCATAACCACTCCCTCCAGCATGCACCAGTTTGCGTACCTCCTATAGTGAACGGGGACCAATATATATTTTAGCATAATGGTGAAGTCTGAAGGTATGGGGAAGCCAAACTTCTGCCTTGAACAGTGAGATGCAAACATGAAAGAGAAACCACCTTCTAGTTCTGGCTAGATGCGCTTCTTGAGTACTTCATGGAGTCTTGGGTGAGGGCAAGCTGCGTTAAATACATGAGAGGGTTCGACTGGTTGCGGTGCCTCTCGGAGAACGTACTACTAGACCTCTGTTCGCGCTTGAATTCGATCTTCACGGTCACCTTCGAGAGGCCTAGTGGGTACTAGTGTATCACTTTATCATCACTTCGCCGTCATGCTCCATCCATCCTCTCTCATTTCTAATTGTTCCCTGTCGCTTATATACCAACCTATTCTCCACTCTGGGTAATAATGTGTGACTCGAGGACGTAGACTGCCTTAATAGGTATAGGGTGGTCATAGATTGAATGGCTTTAGTGTATTACAATAAAATCGATTTGGGTCAACTAGCTATCTCCATTCGCCGCATTCGCGCGATGCTTCTCCATAACACAGTGCCCGGATAGACCGTGAAAACAAGGACACATGAAATGGCTCTCTCCTGCGGCCTCCAGCCTTCAACAAGCCGAATTCGTCTGGGTGAGAAGACCAAGTTTCCACGGCAGGGTATTATAGTCACCGCTTGCGCTGGGACTCAGACCTTGGTAAAGATAGCGTAGATTGCATGGGCTAATGGTCATCGTCTGATCGACATTGGTGCGTACCACTTCGCCGTGGCTGATGCTCTTCGTCCATGCAGTCCCACTGAAGACAACATTGTTAGAACGAGCGAATGGGTTTGATTCCGAATTGGCGAGACCAGTCCACGGGCCGGAGAGACTGCTCGCAGTCCATGAGCGGAAGTAGCGGGCACCGTCGCTTCCAATGGCTTCCACAAGAAGAAGATATTTGCTCTCGCCGATGGAGTACACGTTTGATGCCTCGAAAAGGGCATTCTTCGAGTCGGACAAAGCAATTACGGTAGAGCCCATGCCGCTAGGAAAATTGCTGAGCGAGGTTTGTGAGCGGTAGAGGTGACCATTGTCATCAGATGAGAAGAGATGGCAGTTAGACGCGTCGCAGATGACCCACATGTCTACCCAATATCCACTGCCGATGTTCTGGGTGATAATACTGGGCTGGCTGTTATAGAAGTTCTTTGGGGCACTCCAACCAGTTGGATTGCTGATATCTTTGTTGGTGGAGTATGCGGCGTTACCGTTCTGGAAGACAAGATACCAAAGGCTTTGAGGTGCAAAGTAAAAGACCTGGGGGGCAGCTCGATAGCCCGAACCGATTGGCGTCTGATCAAGGTAGTGAAATTCAGCAGAGTTTGCTTCGGCGAAGTCAGTGAAGCTGAAGTAGACTAAGTTATACCCGGAAGCTTGGGCCGTGCTCGCGAAGACGTGATATTTGCCGTTGGAGAAGACGATTGAAGGGTCTTTGATCCCAGCCAGTTTGCGGGCATCATTCTTGGGACTAACCAGTGCCGCGCTTGAGCTCCACTTGAAGGTGCTGGGGAGATTGGCCGTCTGTCTGGTAGTAAGGGTCGCACTGAGAGAATCATCCAAGGGCATAAGACGGTGGGTGATGCTGCGGGCAGCCACTGCATTAAAAAGAGCCGCAAGGACTATAAAATGTAGCATATTTTTGGTAGTTAAAAGGAACAGTTTGGATAGAGGCCCACCTTATGAGCTGAGTATCGTTCTTTATATCCAGGCTTTCAGATAGGCAGTCAGAAAAGCCAGGGGCGTTATATGATTAACAGCATCACATTTTTTCCGAATTGTGAAGCGACTATGCTGAAACTAATAGGCCAAATCAAAGTAGTCTTGGTATACAGGGGTGGTAACCAGCGCCGAATACATTCCTCGCCGTTTCACTAGAGCGGAGCTGCACCTCTCCGGTGCATCCATCAATTCGTATTGACCGAATGACTTCGTGGTTGGGTTTTCTTGAGCATATAAGTCTTGGGACAGTCAGCGTTACCCTCTCCTTTATCATTGTAGGTCAGATTCGAACAGAATATCAGCAGTGCTTGAATATACATGGACTTCAACGGGAGGCTGGCCCTAGGCTCGTAGAAAAAGGCTGGGCTTGAACACCGGTGCTGGCTATCGAACTTTGCTACGTATAACGCGATCTGATCTTTGGTACTTCGTCATTTGCATCGTCAGCTCTCAATGCCAATTTTCCGTAAATGTGTGGAGGGAGGTGGCCCGGGCTACCGGGGTCGGATTAGGGTAATCTTAGCAGCGGGGAAATTCGGCAATCTTTGCACCAATCGGCCTGCAGGACGTCATGATTTAATAAATGCAGATACAGTCAACTCTCGATGGCGCGATGCGCGATTAAACGATATTTCGATATAGCGATACATTTCTCAAACCTGAATTAATTTCCCACCAAAATATTCCATTTCGCGATACCTACTATATCGCAAGCTTTTAGCTAGATTATCGTTATATTAAGAGATAAAATGCCACGTGTGGCAATTACTAACAAGCAGCGACAGGCTCTGCGTTAATAGTATCAACGTCAGGGTCCTGGCTGGAGGCAGCTTAATGCGATTAAGTAGTTTAAGCAAGAGTACAACCATCGCATCCGTCAGTCAACAGTATCAGAGTCCCTCTCAGAGCGATATAGCTACCTTGACAGTAGCTCTGCCACCACCCGCACACGTCAACAACAGGCACAGTGGCCTATCCTTAAAGCTGTCCTCTTTGACTAGCAGCAGCACCTCAAGAGCTCCGGCAGCGACGTCCCTAGCGATATCCTTATTGAGAAAGCAAAGGCTATCTGGCCGCAGATACCTAATTACGCCGACCTCCCTGTACCAGAGTTTAGCTCAGGCTGGCTCACTAACTTTAAGCGACAGCATAATATCAAGCTTTATTGACACTAGGGCGAGGCTGCGTCAGTGCCAGCTAGGGCTAAAGAGGAGATGAGGGCTATTAGAACGCTGTGTGGAGAATACGCAGAGCAGGATATATTCAATATGGACAAGACAGGCCTATATTGGCGGCAGGCGCTGTTGTTAGGGCTTTCTACTAGAGCTTAACCTAGCAGGAAGAAGGATAAGAACTAAATATTAATTATATGCTGCTGCAACTTTACTAGCAGCAAGCGCTTTACTCCCTAGGCTATCAAGAAGGCAGCTAGACCACATGCTCTGCGATCTGTCAACCTCAAGGCTCTCAGCATCCAATAGTCGTCAAATCCTAAGGCGTGGATGACGCATACTATTATAATGGATTGGCTACAGGCCTTCTATCGGTAGATAGGAGAGACTAGGTCTATCCTGCTGCTGATGGACAACCACAGCGCTTATATCCTCGGCGTTGATCTCAAACCACCTCCACCAAATATCCGCATTCAATGGCTGCCTGCCAACTCAACTAGCGTCTACCAGCCACTTGATCAGGGCGTGATTAGTCAGTTCAAGCGCTCATACAAGAAGCAATAGATACGCTATATAGTCGCTAGCTACAAGCGCGGCGCAGATCCAGCAACTCAAGTCAACCTCTACTATGCCTTACGCTGGGCCTCTCAAGCCTAGTATAACAACCTTCAGAGCAATACAATCTATCGCTGCTTCTGCTAAGCTAGGATCCAGCCTTCACAAGAACCAATCTACCTGCCTAATCCAGAGGAGCAGTCTCAGCAGGAGCTAGAGGAGCTCTACCAGCAGGTGCAGCACGCAGGCAGGATTCAGGACGCTATGAGCCTTGAAAACTTCCTGAATCCTATTGATGAGGATCACAAGCCTACTCAATCTGACTTTAATGTAGCAAACGCAATTGCAACATATAGCCAGCAGCTAGTTGAAGACGAATCAGACGACGAAGGGCCTCCTATACAAATACCTACCCCTGCGCAGGCAGAGCAGGCTCTTGAATTACTACTCTTATATCAAGAGCATACAGATTCAACAACTCCCCAGCAGATCAGAGCGCTCCAGCAGCTATATACTGAAGCAAAGGCTCAAAAGTCTAAGCAGTTTGTCCAGGGCACTCTAGATAGTTGGATTACGTAACCCTCTTGCTGCAACGATATTGCGATATAACGATATAATCCTCGTTCCAGAATTGTATCGCGCCATCGAGAGTTGACTGTATTCTCCTGCATTCGATATCGTAATCCGACCTTCCGAAATCTTCGTTCCTAAGTTCTCCACCAAGAAGTCAAGCGCGAAATATAGAGGCGGGCTGCAGTTTTCGCATGAATCAACGGCTGAATGTTTTCGCATGCGCGCGTTTCCTGTCGCACGTGTCTCACGCGATATCATACCCATGTACTGCACTATTCACTCATTAGGCATAGCTCCTATCTCGTACAGTATATAGTCAGCTCAG